AATCTACCCTATGCACCGCCTTAGGCTCAAGAAGAAAGAATAACTAAGTAACTTACTAACTAATTAACTAATGTAGAACCAATCAATAGTCAGCTTGTTCGCTTTATATGAAAAGGAATAACAATGAAATAATAGGAAGATGACGGGAGCAGGAAAAACAAGAGAAACTAAATTAACTTTTTGAATCCCAAAGAACGCATCATACGTTTGTAGGTTCCTACCTAAAAGCACAGTAAACGCAAGGAGCGCCAATTTTACGTCTCTCTTGACCACCCTGTGGGGTTCTGATGCTCAACCCCTGGGACTCAAAGAGTTAAAAGGATGGGAATAGGAAGAGAAGAAACGATAAATCATAGGAGAAAGATAAGGACCCACACTGAAATGGTCGATTTGATTTAATTTGATTCAAGAACCGACATCACAGCACTCGGGGCATTCCCATAAGCGCTCCGTCCCCATCTTCAGCAGCAGAGCGGAGGTTTCCGATACTAATGGTGCCAGTAGCATTCTGATTAAACGTCTGTCTTGCCTTTCCTCTGAGCCTCGAGCATCTGTCAGAACCTCTCGTCACCCCCAACTGCATCAATCTCACTAGACTGTGGTGATCCGTCTGCTCCAAAGCAATTGTACACGCACTGGAATGGAAAACCCCACAGCCACTGCATAAGCAACACCAAAGAAAACATCAAATAGACGTTTGAGCAAGAGAGATAGTAGCCACTATGGCTATGTGTACACAGAGATCTATGTTAGACGCCTTCCCTTCACTCATTTCGTTGATATACCAGAGTAGGTCCGCCACAAACAATTGACATACGTGTTTACAGGTAATACAGTCTACTTTCCTTAGTTAATTTTTTTTCAAATCGAAATCAATAATTGATTCCGCAAAACTGGACAAGGTCAAATCATTTTTGTTTTGTTTTAGACAATACGGTCCCGGTCTTAAAAATTGGATATCAAGTAAACACTCAGAGGATGGAGGGTGATATAACCCCTTAGGGCATCCTCAGTGATGAATTACAGAGGCTGCTCATTGTCGAAATTGGCCTCTACTACAAGATAGTAGGCAACCGTCATTCCTTAGGGACCATGGAGTTTTGGAGCTTATGTTGGTGATAGCGTCTACTAATGAGTGTAAAGTGGCAGTCTCTGCAACATATTCCACATAAAAACGCTGCTACGCTGTCTTCCTGGGGCTGGTTTTCTGACGGACGTCTCCTCTCTTTAGGTTTCTGAGTCTGGTCTCTTACAAACTTGCGACAGTCCGAGTTTCACTGTTTGCCTCAAAAGGAATCGGCCTGCCGTTGATCTTGTCTACCCGTCTGTGTGAATGTTTTATATCTTTTAGGTCACGTTGGTTTTTTCCTTAAAGCGTAGCATTGGCCTTCTAGCAGATCGTATACCTACTACCAGTTTATCATACAGGTTTCCATGCGAGACGTGTGTCCCAGTCAACCAGATAAAGATGTGTGCACTCAGGACTAAAATGGTTATGGTAATAATGTGGATTTGTGGAAACTACGACATGGACCGTATTGTACTGAATGGGAAAATCAGGAAGTAAATTGGGTTGCAGAAGACAATTTCAGATAAGCGAAGAGTTCCTCTTCTTCTTCTTCCATACGTCCTCTCTTACCGCTTCGGGTGTCGACGGAGATATACATAAGGTCCTACTTCGCGCTCTTCTGGCTGCTTCGACCATAGACCCATTGTAGTGCTGTAGCGTTTCTTTGTTGTTATCTTGAAATCTTGTTTGTTGGTCTGCCTCTCACTCTACGTCTCTTGACTCTGTTGGTATATGCTTTGTTCGGTACAGCATCAGAAGGCATTCTCTCCAAGTTGGCAAACCATTTGATTTGTTGTCTCTGAATGTAATTCAGAATTGGTTATGTGCCGACTTTATTCTGAGTGACCGCATTCCTGATTTTATCTCTTGTGGTCATTCCTCAAGTTTCTCTGAGATGCCTCATTCACATGGTTTCTAACTCCCTTTTATGTTTTGTTGTGAGTGACCACGTCTAGCACTGGTAGCATATCCTGGGAATAAATATATTCTGTATTAGACTGTTGGTTTTGTGTGTGTGTGTGTGCTGATTGTGATCGCCTTATGCTGTAAGGAGGGTGCTGGTTGTCCCAATACTTGACCTGCGTTACTGCATCAGATGTCAGTTTCTTCGTCCAATTTACTATCCTCAGTGAATGTTGTTCTAAGTTATTTAAGCTCAAATGCCTCTTTAATATATATATATATATATATATATATATATATATATATATATATATATATATATATATATATATATAGCTAATTCTATATTTAAATTCTGCATCTTTCTTCCTACTGACATCACTTCTGTCTTTTCGATGTTGTTTCTCATATTATTTGATTTATATTAGTCATGAGAGATACGAACAGAAATACGTTAAAAAAATAGGATGACAAAAATGTATCTATACTCTTAATGTGGAATATTTTTTTTTTTTTTTACGCGAGAGGGTCTTGGTACTTGCATTCACCTTAGTTATTGGCTGTGATAACCATGCCTAATTATAGCACCTTAAACACATTATCAACAACCAAAGGGATTCAAAATTTAATTTCATAAAATCCAAACTGTTACTAATGAGGGAGTTCCCCCCCCCCCCCCGTCCCCGTCACCAACCGCCCCTTTTAACCCTCTATTTCTATTATATACATAGTTTTCGTCCACCAGTGAAAGGCATTATTATTTTCATACAGGCTGCTTGTTTAAAAACGTCAGCATTACGTGACATTTTCCGCCATATTTAGATCAAATTAGTATAGCCATTTTTTTTTTTAATGGTGGCGTTTCTTCAGCAAGAAATTGTAACTGCATGTGCAGCAAACACATGGGGTCGTTGGATTAAGTAGCACGAGCAGCAGTTTACAGCATTAAATGTCTGGAGGCTAGTGGCAATCACTTAGATCAGCTGTAGTAACTATATAAATCACTTGTAACTTGTGGGCATCTCGTCGTGACTGAATAAAGATGTTATCTTAATGTTTATACAGGTCCTAATCACTTTGCCCGGCTCGCTAGCTCAGTTGGTTAAACCAGGGACGAACTCCTTGTGTTTGGGGTTTACGCCCGGGGGGTAGGCTGAAAGCCACGTTTCTCCCAGATTTACGGTATCCATCACAGAATCAAAGCCGAAGGTTTGCAATATTCACAGTACCAAGCCGAAGGGTTTACATCTTATAGTTTATGGATATTAAATTGTTACCGTATTGTATTATAAAACCTCAGATATCCTAAATAAAGAAACATTTCCCTGCATGACAATTACTACATTTTTTTTTTCTTTCTTTTTAGAATTCGATGCTTTTTGTTGAGACGAATATAAGCGCAGCACAATTCTTCTTTTTCTTTTTCGCGTTCACTGTCTAAAAACTCTGGCGGACAACTCTGGTTGTTTAACCACCTCTAAACTTTAGACTGGTTCCAAAATCTGACTATTGCGTGCACATCTGTCTTACAGGTGTAACTTATTTGTAAGCGGACTGTTGGTTCCTTGCCTCTCGGGCAGTTTCACTCCAATTTCGAAGCAGGAGCACTTGATATTTGGGTTTATCAGAGCTGCGACCTCCTTAAAAAAACTAAGAGTTTGCACTCATTTTTGTTTTAAAAAAATAAACTCAAATGCTGCAAGGCGTTAATCATCTCAACGCATCTGTCTTGTGCAACATGAGTCAAGACTATGCAATCACAGGTGGCTCACAGGTTTCTGTAAAAAATTTAAAAAAAATGAAGTCATGCATTTCTTGTGACTGTTCTTCTTTTGCAGAGAGCTGTGATATTAATCTACAGTGTTATTATTGTGCTATTTGTTGTTTTAAACATGTTCATGTTCTCGTTTTTGTTGTTGTTGTTATTGTTGTTGTTGTTGTTGTTGTTCTTCTTCTTCTTCTTCTTCTTCTTCTTCTTCTTCTTCTTCTTCTTCTTCTTCTTCTTCTTCTTCTTCTTCTTCTTCTTCTTCTTCTTCTTCTTTTTCTTCTTCTTCTTCTTCTTCTTCCTGTTTTTTTAAATTCTTTTTATTGTTTTTTTTTATATAGTTTTTCACTCCTTTTTCTACTGCCAACATCACCCCTACATCTACTGCCCTTGAAATGGCAGTTTGGCCCGTTGTGTTTGATTGTTACTTAATTCAGTGGTCGGCAATAGCTTCAGTCAAAAGACGCAAAAACAGAAGCAATGACGATTGTACTTTTTTTTTTTTTTTTTGGTTACAGCCATATTTATTTTCAAGAACTTATAAATAACCATATTATTCCTAGTCAAAATCAGTTTGTGACCGACTGGCCATGCTAAACTCAGGTGACTAAAGTTGCGCATGGAACATGGAGCGTTTTGCTGACTATCGCCTTAAAAGCATTGATATCAGCACCCTTTCACACCAAACATCCAACTGCATATCTTAAATTAGTTGCATTTTACGACAGTGTTGTAAAGAATTAGGTGTCTGTTCTGTGTCTCTCCCCGTCCCTTCCCCCCCCCCACCCCCCACCCCCTCCCCCCACATCTCTCCAGAAAAAAATGGGAGTCCTGGAATTCATTCGCTGTAGTAGCAACTTTGAGAACAACGAGTAAAAGTTATTATAGACACATTAGAGGTACGTGAAGTAAAATAAAGTCCATTTTCCACGCCTTCGTGCGTTTTGGGCGTATAGGGCTAGACCTATATTTTATAGTTCACTTGGCACTCTGTGGGTGGTGTGGGTAATATCCCACTGGCTGCCTTTACTTCCAAGGAATATACCTGGTAACCATTCAAGGCTGGAACAACCTGGGAACCGAGGTCATTTTTGAAGAAAGTACGGGCTCCGTGAGGATCTGCATGCACGACCATCCCATGTGTAGGCTAGCGCCCAGACGGTACACCACAGCGGCTACCCATATATTGAAGGAGTTCATATAATAGTATCTTCCTTTGCAGATGTTGTGAAGTATAACTTGAGAGATCTCAATGAGGATACC